TGCTAAGGACCAGATAATTTTTATTATGTCCTGATACGTAAAACCATAGAACTCAAAGAGGACGTACTTTCTTTTTCACACAACTGTATATTGATTTTTATAGTGCCCATCACCTTTTCTTATAAGAAACTTGCCATGTTTTAAAATGAAATCATCATCAAAGGGAATATTTAGCTTAACCATAACTAAAATGTATTTTCACAATACAGTTTTTATGATAATATTTTTCTATTTTTCTGCATCCTGATGTATGTCTGTGCAATGATTGTATCTTCTACTTGGTGGGATGTGGGCAACAGTACGTTGGCTTGTCAGGTGGTTCCTAGTTTGTATAGAACAGTGTGAGTATCCTTGGGATAAAACTGGGCTTTGGTTGTGCTTGTGGCATACTGGCCAAAATTGCTACACATTAGCAGGGAATGCTGTATGCGACTTTGGGTATAACTAAGGTTTGTAACTTAGTTTACTCCTTCTGAGTATGAACTGAGACATTAAATAAAAATAGAAAAATTGCTGTGTTCTGGGTCTGGGAAAGTAAGATATGAGAAGGATGAAATAAACCTGAGTCAAGGTGGTCTGATCTAATAGAATGGATGAATATATGCAGGGCAAAGACAGAAAGTGTAAGTTAGAAAGTATGAATTGGTATCATCTAGCTCAGGGGTTGTCAAAAGTTTTAGTTTAAAAAAAATCCAGAAGCCCTGATCAAGAAGCAAAGCTCTAGCAATACAGAATTGGCTGCATTTGATGAACTTTTTTCTTTTGCTCTTAGTCTGTCATGGAATCCCATTAAGTTCTTTCAGAAGCCTTGAGTTCCATAGAACACAGTTTGAAAAACCCTAATCTAGATCATTATGCTAGGAGTGATATTTGCATATTATTCTCAAGTGAATGGTCATAATGAAAGAACCAGAGATGAGATGTGGAAAAAATAGTGATGAATGAATGTGATCTTGGGGAAAATGTTATTCTATTAGGTGCCATGAGTTAAAGTATCAAAATAGTGATTGGGGCATCTTGAGCCCCAAGAATGAATGAGAATGGCAATTGGTGAGTATCCACTTAGAGAAAGGTCTGTGGAATGTCTAACAGACCTTGGGAAAGTGGTGGAGGAAACAGGACCGTTGCAAAACAGGTGACAAGTCCACAATGTCCAAAACCCAATTCAGAAGCATCCTCACGCAACCAGGCTTGGTTCAGAAAAATACTTCTTTATTAAGTGGTACATGTAGCTTGTAAACAGAAGAAGCATCCTCACGCAACCAGGCTTGGTTCAGAAAAATACTTCTTTATTAAGTGGTACATGTAGCTTGTAAACAGAACTTTGCTAAAACTAAAGCCTTGGGTAAACTTCCCTCTATTTATCCCCCCTCCCCTTATTACCTGGTGTCTCGATTCCTCATCACCTGGTGTTGACCTCTCTCCTTCCTCCCCCTCCTCCCCAAGCTCCTTCCTGGCTCTTTGGGCCCAGCTGCCTTGCCGGCAATCAGGCCAGTCTACATTGCCCATATACTGTATGGTTAAGCACTGTCCCACCACCCGTTACTACTCCTATTACAACCTTTAACTGCAACCCCCCCCCCTTTGTTACAATTTGCAGAAACAAATTAATCCAACTCCCATCGAATGCAATACAATGTAAAACAACAATAGTAGGGTGATGCAGGTTCTGACAACAGGCACCTCAGCTTAGGGGAGAGAGGAAAAATGAAGAGCAATTCAGCCTGAATTGTGCCCTCTTATCCAATATCAGTGTTGAATGAGGGCCTTTGGCCAGCTTGTACAAAATATAACAGGGAGGCATGATAATTAAGGCACTTGTATCAAATTATACCAATCACATTTACTCTGGATTTGTAAATGGTGATTCACCCTGACCAATCAGAATTTTCTCATCAGTCAGTTTCAACCACTGATATCATAAACAACACAAACCATGTTGTCTCAAAAGAAAGCTCTGTAACTCTCAAGCTTGGTTTGATAAGAATTGTTAGTGGGCAAAGAGAAATTTAATATAGGACAAGATCCCTCTCACTCTTCACTGAAATGCTACTAAAAATCAGAAAACAATACAGGCAATTGATTTAAACTAATAGAGGGATCATATTAGAAATTTATGGGCTTGCCTAATTACAGCTTTGCAACTGAAGAATTCCTCCCTTTTTTTTTTTTTTTTTTTAAGAAAACTGGAAGAATTATTTTTACTTTCTATACAGACAGGGTATTTGACTCTCTTCTGGAAATTAACATCAACATGCTCCCACAGTGGCCACTGATTACATGCTTGGAAATAAAGACTATTAATTACTTAAAACCTCCCAAAGCTCCTGGACCAGATTGAAGAAATCATTAAAATAAATTGGGAATGGCGTGCCCCTGTCCTGGCTTCTCTCTTTAGAGTTATTCATCACCCACCTTTAATCCCCAAAGACCAGGGCTTGGTTATAAATATTCTACTCTTCAAGATTCAGCAAAGTACCATCCTATTAGTTTGCTAACAGTAAAATACAGGTAGTCCTTGTTTAACGTCCACTTGTTTAGTGACCATTCGAAGTTAGCACTGAATGAGGGATACTTACAATGGGTCCTTGTAGTTGCAGCCGTTGCAGTGTCCCTACAGTCATGTGATCGCAATTCAGGTACTCGGCAACCAGATCAAAATTATGACATCGCAGCATCTTGCAGCCATGTTATCACCATTTGCAACCTTCACTGCCAGCTTCCAGGAAGCAAAATCAGTGAGGAAGCTGGCAGGAAGTCAGAAATGGCAATCGTGTGACTGTGGTGTCCCATGTGGGATTCACCTAAAGATGGCAACTGGGACTGCTGGAACTGCTGTCATAAGTTGGTGTAGTCATGTGACATTGTGCCTTATGACTGCATTGCATAGTGACAGAATTCCTGGTCCCAGTTACCTTTGGTAAGTGAAGACTACCTGTATATGCCAAACTTCTAGAGGATAAATTATTGGATTTGTTTGAAACAGACCATATACTTCAGGAGG